AGGAGAGATGGCGCACCGGGCCCGCGCAGCCACCGCAGGCCGCCTTGAGTGACAGGCGGCGCGGGCCGGAGGGACCTGCGCTCGCTCGCGGGGTTGCAGAGTCGGGTCTTTGCAGCGACGTGCAACGGGGGGGGGGGGCCTGCGCGAGCGCCTCCCACCACCCACCGCCCTCCCCCACCCGGGCTTCTAGAAGCAGCTTCCACGGACCCAGTTGGGGACAGCGACGACACCCCTCTCCTCGGGGACCCCCTTTCTGCAGACCCGGTAGCGCCCCGCCGGCCCCAGATGCGACACGTCTCTGTCCCTGCAGGAAGGCCGGGAAAGGAGGCCGGGAGAGGAGCCAGGAGAGAAGGCCGGGAAGGAGAGCGGGAGGAGGAGGCAAGAGAGAGGCTTTCCCCAGACTGGGCCTCGCTGTCGCAGCCTTTTTAATATTTTTCCAATTTTCATTTTTATTTTGGAGGCCGAGTCTCGCTCTGTCGCCCGGGCTGGAGTGAGTGCCGGGGCGCCAGCCTCGCTCGCACAGCCTCCAACTCTGAGGCTCAAGCGAGCCTCCGCCTCGGCCTCCCTCCCAGGAGCTGGACTCCAGGAATCCGCGCCACCACGCCCGGACTCATTTTTTTCTATATATTTTAGTTCCAATTAATTCTTCTATTTAAGTAGAGACAGGGGTCTCGCCTTGCTCAGGCTGGCCTCCAACTCCGTGGCCTCGAGCGACTCCTGCCTCGCTCCAGAGCGCGTGGCATGACAGCGTGAGCCTCCACGCCCGTCTCATTTTTTTTTCTATATATTTTTAGTCGTCCAGCTAATTTTCTTCTATTTTTTTTTAGTAGCGACATAATCTCCCTCTTGCTCAGGCTGGCCTCGACCTCCTGACCTCCAGCGATCCTCCCTCCTCGGCCTCCCAGAGTGCTGGGATGACAGGCGTGAGCCACCAGGCCTGGCTCACTTTTTATATCTATAGTTTTAGTTGTCCAGCTCATTTCTTTCTATATTTTTTAGTAGAGACGGGGCCTCGCTCTTGCTCATGAGGCTGGCCTCCAACTCCTGACCTCAATAGCGATCCTCCCGCCTCGGCCTCCCTCCGGAGTAGCTGGGACGACAGGCATGCGCCACTACGCCCGGCTCGTTTTTTTTCTATTTTTAGTTTTTTGCTTAATTTCCTTCTAATTTTTTTAGTAGAGACGGGGTCTCGCTCTTGCTCAGGCTGGCCTCCACCTCCTGGCCTCAATAGCGATCCTCCCGCCTCGGCCTCCCTCCGGAGTAGCTGGGACGACAGGCATGCGCCACTACGCCCGGCTCGTTTTTTTTCTATTTTTAGTTTTTTGCTTAATTTCCTTCTAATTTTTTTAGTAGAGACGGGGTCTCGCTCTTGCTCAGGCTGGCCTCCACCTCCTGGCCTCAATAGCGATCCTCCCTCCTCGGCCTCCCAGAGCGCTCGGACGACAGGCGTGAGCCTCCGCTCTTGACAGTTTCTGAGGCCCCTAAGACAGTGTGAGCAGCCTCCATCCTCGGCCTCCACACCTGCCTTGGAGGCCGTTGGAAGGCAGCTGCGAGCACACACTGCACATGCGCACAAACACGCGTGTGCACACACACGCTACACGCGTGCAAAGCATCGTCACATGCACAGATGACACATGTGGCTTCGACGCAAACCTCCCTTCCTCCCCTGCAGGAAGCGCACTGGGGTTGGGGACACCGTCATTTTGCGGGGAATTGGGGGACCCCGGCGGCTCCAGGGACACCCCCAAATGTCCCTGGGGGGACGGGACCCCCGGCTGCACCCCAGCTGCAAGCAGAGGCCTGGTGACACCTTGCAGCCCCGCAAAAGTGGCGGGGACAAAACGGGGGTGACGTTGGCACCCCGGTTTGCAGCCTCGGAGGCTGCCTTTGGCCTAAGGGGGGGATTGTCCCCAAACAGGGAGTCAGGTGTCACCATGGTGGGGGGATTGTCCCCAAACAGGGAGTCAGGTGTCACCTCAGTGGGGGGGATTGTCCCCAAACAGGGAGTCAGGTGTCACCTTGGTGGGGGGATTGTCCCCAAACAGGGTGTCAGGTGTCACCTTGGTGGGGGGGATTGTCCCCAAACAGGGAGTCAGGTGTCACCTTGGTGGGGGGGATTGTCCCCAAACAGGGTGTCAGGTGTCACCTTGGTGGGGGGATTGTCCCCAAACAGGGTGTCAGGTGTCACCTTGGTGGGGGGATTGTCCCCAAACAGGGTGTCAGGTGTCACCTTGGTGGGGGGATGTGTCACCTTGGTGGGGGGATTGTCCCCAAACAGCGAGTCAGGTGTCACCTTGGTGGGGGGATTGTCCCCAAACAGGGTGTCAGGTGTCACTTTGGTGGGGGGATTGTCCCCAAACAGGGAGTCAGGTGTCACCTTGGTGGGGGGGATTGTCCCCAAACAGGGAGTCAGGTGTCACCTTGGTAGGGGGGATTGTCCCCAAACAGGGTGTCAGGTGTCACCTTGGTGAGGGGATTTTCCCCAAACAGGGAGTCAGATGTCACCTTGGTGGGGGGGATTGTCCCCAAACAGGGTGTCAGGTGTCACCTCGGGGAAAACTGTCCCCAAAGAGGGTGTCAGGTGTCACCTTGGTGGTGGGGAATGTCCCCAAACAGGGTGTCAGGTGTCACCTTGGTGGGGGGATTGTCCCCAAACAGGGTGTCAGGTGTCACCTTGGTGGGGAGGATTGTCCCCAAACAGGGTGTCAGCTGTCACCTTGGTGGGGGGGATTGTCCCCAAACAGGGTGTCAGCTGTCACCTTGGTGGGGGGATTGTCCCCAAACAGGGAGTCAGGTGTCACCTTGGTTGGGGGGATTGTCCCCAAACAGGGAGTCAGCTGTCACCTTGGTGAGGGGATTTTCCCCAAACAGGGAGTCAAGTGTCACCTTGGTGGGGGGATTGTCCCCAAACAGGGAGTCAGGTGTCACCTTGGTTGGGGGGATTGTCCCCAAACAGGGAGTCAGCTGTCACCTTGCTGGGGGGATTGTCCCCAAACAGGGAGTCAGCTGTCACCTTGGTGAGGGGATTTTCCCCAAACAGGGTGTCAGGTGTCACCTTGGTGGGGGGATTGTCCCCAAACAGGGAGTCAGGTGTCACCTCGGGGAAAACTGTCCCCAAACAGGCCACGGGGCCGGCGCCCCTGCATTCGCTTCTCATTCTGGGGGTGCCTGCAGGGGGGAAGGCGGGGCGCACCCCAAAAACTCGCTTCCCTAAACAGCTGCTAAGCACGCGGGGGGGGGGTAGCTGGCCACGGAACCCCACATTAAGAACCGCCACCCCCTCTAGAAAGCTGGGGGTCCCCCCCTGTCCCCGTCCCCCTCTTCCCCCGCAGGGGGACGCCCCCAGTCTGTCTGTCTGTCTGTCTGCGCATGTCTGTGTTTGCACCCGGCACCAATCAAGGACCTCGGCCCCTTCCCCCTCCCCGCCTTCCCGGCAATTGTGACGTCACAGCCCCGCAGGCCAGGCACGCTGGGGTTGCCATGGCAACCGGAAACAAGCGGAGCGCGGCAGCGCGAGGC